ACACACACACACACACACACACACACACACACACACACATTCCCATATTCCAACACAGTCATAACTGTGGTGGTAGTGTAGTTTGGACTCTGTGATTCATTGATTCACAGGTCTGTATACACATTCACATTGTAATGTTCCAATACAACTTAGAGACAAAAGTCAAGTTCTTGCATTAACTGGTTTATTAAACAATTTAAAACAGTGCTAAGAAAACTTACAGATGTGTCGCAATGTCTCAAAAGAAACAGCCGCTCACTCAACAGCCCAGTGTTATGCCCAGTCTAGGGGTGTCTGAGACACAACATGAAAGGCCCCATCTTCCCCAGGTCCCAAGTAGCCACAATGAAAAAGACGTGTGGAACGATCAATAGTGCGAATTTATTTACAATATTTAAATAACAGAATTAACTGAAATAATGACTTCAGGGTGGACACAGGCCAAAATAACAAACAAAAACAATCCTGCCCAGGGAGTAAGTAAATAGCCTAACCAAATAATAAAAAAACAAATGACAAAAGCTTACCTCCCTAACGAAATAAACAGGAGAAAAATGGTTAGTAACAAAACTGGCAGTCCACCCCTATGATTTAACAGTCTTTAACACAATAACGGTTTACTACAACAACACAACAATACGTGGCCGGTTGGGAGAGGAGGAAGGTGAGGTGTGCCTGCTAGCTCGAAGCAACTGCCATCTTGGACCTTTAAAAACCCGAACGCCCTTGGCGGCAGCCAATCAGGAACGAGCACAGATCAAAGTCACCGATCCTCGCCGGGCTATGGCACACACCTATTTGCATACAGAAAACACAGAGAACACATGCAACAAAACACACACAAACAAAAGAAATTACGACAACAGTCGTAACACCAGGTATCAATAACGGAGATTACAGTGGGCCAGACCTGCCTCCCCTTCCTCTGTTCCACCAACCTACACTGACCACTGTATGCAGGCACAGTGATGCTTTGAGCTACATCATCAAAACAACAAACTAGTAGTGGACAGTTCTGTCTGTACATATAATCCACACCGTAACTGCCTAGATCCACCTATTTAAGAAAAAAAATCCCTGAAGGTCCCACCTGCTGTTCCTATTATAATTTCTGAGAGGTTAGGTAACATAAACAGAGGTATTTCTAAAGCTAATTTTGATAAACTCATCTCCCCATCACTCAGTCATACTACCTCATACCCAAGGCCCAACTGACATGCTCTTAATTTTACTTTCTTGAAAGTCCATTCCTTGATCAATTAGTTATGACCCTGACCAATATTGTCAGACACTTATTGAGTGTAATGACTTTGATGT